CTGAACCGCTCCGTGTGTCGTATTATATTCTTCGGAATATGATTATTCCTTATAATTATTACAATTATTAAATATACGATTATCAGTCCAGCGCAATTTTGATCAATTCTTTTATTATTTAATAAATAATATATACTCGTATCTTAGAACGGCATGTGAAAACATCGCAACGATGGTTATTTGATACAAGTAACGAAAAGACATGATACGTAATACGTATATCGACTGTTTATTAATATAACACGTGCCTTGAAAATCTATTATTCTTGTAATATTCAATTTAGATTATAAATTATCCGGTAATCCATTATATTTTAACTAGTAATTAATTCAATCCGCGCGTAACGTTGTTGGTACAGTACAGATCGACTCCAATATTACGACACATTTATATTAAAAAGAACAATGGTTACTATTAAAATCCTTTTAATATTTATTAATCACGTATTACACGTCAATTCTGCGTTTCATCGCCATTGTTGTAATTTGTCAAAACGCGTATTTCGCGAAATTCGTTCGATCGATTTGTCGTACGAAGATTCGGTAAACTATATTTTCGATATAATACTGCAATCCGCGAATATCTTTTATTTTAATTTACATTTTTATCTATTTAACGTTATAATGCGTAATAATAAAATTTCTTTACGATGCGGATTCTCTACGTATACTTTTCATAGTAACAGAAATAGTACATTATTTCTACAACGAGAGTTTGTGATGCGCGAATATAATCACGTGATTTTCAAGTGCCGAGCAGTATAGTTTTCCGTCGCGATATAATAAAGTGTGCTTCGCGTATGATTAATGTCGACAGTATCGTCCAAAGCGCCGCGTAATTGTCATATTCTGCTGTTGGGCGCGCGCGATCGTAATTATCCATGTTTTCGCGAGTGTCACAAAGTGAATAAGAAAAGAGGAAAAGGAGACCCGGGATGGTATCGTGCAACAGCAGAGCAACTCTAAGGTAAGTAATTGATGTAACTTATTTAATTTATTATTCGTTAGTTGTGGAATTAATTAATTGTGTTTATTTCTCTCTCGCTCTCTCCGCGCTATAATAATTTATTTTACATAACTACTATTTAAATTAAAAAATTTAATCATTATTTAAAATTTATATTAATTTTCTTCAAAAATTACATTTTTATTTATTTATTATATTTTAAAAATTAAAATATTTTTTTTCGGGAATTATGTAATCTTTGTTTTACATATATATATGTAAAGGACAAATAAAAAATTTAATTGTACGTGATAATTATTTTTTTAAGATAATAGTTATTTTGAATATTTTTTTTTTTTTTTGTCTAACTTGGTTTTGTTGGTGCATACGTAGTTTTATTATGGCTTAAAAATTTTTTTTATTAAAAATATAAGTATCTTGTAACTTCTATAATTGTATTAACATATAAATATGCTAATATTCAAATAAAATACATACTGTATTATATTGGGGATATAATATAAAAAAAGTCATTAATATCAAATTGTATCGGGCTCTTTCTGTAATCTTCCATTGCCAGGAAAAAAAGTTTGCTATCAATCGGCGATTAAGATGATGCGTAAAGCATTAACTATAATATACGTAAAACTAAAAACACGATGTATCTGTGTGTATGTGTGTGTGTGCTTTAAAAAAGGAAATGTTTTGCAATTCTGATATTGATACGACCGTTATCATTATGGAATAATCAATATTCGAATAATTTTCGAATCGTGTTTAGACAATTAAGAGACATTTTACATAATCCCGTCATTAAAGCGAGGCGCGCATATACACCCGGATGTTAAAGGCGAATATTGACGTCGCAAAATTCGTTTTATTATACATCGAACTGTTATACGCGAATGTCTCGTTCGCCATATGAAATTATATCCTTTCGTGGAAATTACTCGGATTCGAATTCACCAACTCTTTTAAATTAACGACTTACGACACGTAACAGTCGCTTGTTGCGCACTATATACTATGTCGCGTAATGCAGTATGCAATTCTCGAAAGTGCAATTACATACTACATAGGGGTAATCCTAATTTAACAGCGAGTTTTGCTAGCAAGACTTGCAAGATTCTTGTATTTTATAAATCGAGAATTTGCTACGATGACACGATAGTAAAATTAGGACGCACACATAAAATGTGTAATGGTTTTTAATAATAAAATCTTAACTATATGTACATATATATAAAGACAACTGAAATAATTTTTGCAAAGTAATATAGTAATCTTTCTGATTATACATTTTGCTGAAAGATATTTGTAATCTTTTTTGAACTCAACACACACACACACAAAAATTACATATCTGCAAAAGTTTGTAATAAGTTCGATTAAAAGCTGTCTGATGGGCTGGTCCATTTTGGAAACCGGATATATCGAAAACGGGAACAAATTTATTACCTGTTACTGATTTTTTACGAACAATAAAAAGAAAAGACTATTATTCCACGGGTAACTCTCTTCTATAGCGATGGCTATTGGTTTCTTACGCCGACTTTGCCGACTCCGACAATATAATTATAAATTCTTATTAACTTTATGACATAAAAATGCGCGTATGTGTGTGTTTTCCATTAATTTTAGGGCAGTCAAAATGTGAGCATGGCGAAGAAAAGAAAAAGAACGGAAAGAGCCAGGGGATCTTTTAACGAGGTCATTTATAAGAAAAACGCCCTACTCGTGTAAAAATAAAAAAATGGCTTCATAAATCATTGCTATCTCACTTCAAAAATTAATACGTGCCATACTTTTTACACGTAACAAGACACAGGTTTATATAATAGATCTTGCAGCAGGTATTACAAGATTATGTACTTCACATGGCATGATTATTATTTAATATTTGAACGTCGTTGAATTTTGGAGTGTTTCTTGGAGAACATAAATTTAAAATTTGTTAATAACCAGGAATATTAGTAAAATACAAATACACATAAAATGATAGTATTATAATAGAAAGCATAATTTTCAAATGAATAAGCAACAAAAAAGCTAAAAGCATCGAGATTTTAAAATTTCAGCGAAAAATTGACGTTACATGGAAAACACAAAAATTACTATTATATTTCTTAGGGGATCTTGTAGTAAGAAAAGGACATCTTAATAACAATTAGAATCCGGAATTTTCACTCGTACGTGAGTTATATATATACATAATTACCAATCTTTGATTTATCCCTGTCTTTTGCGCTAAAAAATATAAATACCGCGACAATCTTTAAGATTCTCCACACAATAGAAAGAAATCTACGCAAATACACGTGAGCGGTTTAAATTTTTTTTTCCTCGATGGTACCGTCATAGTCCGTAACCGAGTAACCAAGTAACCAAGCGACCAAGTAGCCACGCATCACGGACTCGCGAGATGAGTGAGGGGGAAAACGAGATAAGAGAAGAGACGACTGAGAGCATAGAGAGAACCGTGGAAGAAAACAGCGTCGGCCTTAGACGAAGGATCACGGTAAGAAGAGACGTGGGCAGATGAAGAAGAGGAAGAAACAGCGTCGACCAGGCAGAAGCTCGAGAAGAGCAGCACGAGGAAAAAGAGCGATGGAGGAGGAGGTTAATGACCTCTGGAACACAGCGGTGATAAAGAGTCAGTGCAGCGTCGCGGAAACCACAGGGAATTCGAACCAGCATAATGTCCATACTGACTGAAGCGTTGTACTTTATCGAGGCAGAACATATCATTTCTATATTTATAACAACACACACAAAAAATCTAAAAGATATTCAAACGTCTAAAAAAATCTAAGAGCCATTTTTCAATCGACCTCCGATTAATTTAATCGGCGATTGATTTATCAAATAATACCTGCTATTCTATTATTATATACCTGATATTCTATTATTATATTAGACAGTATTATTAATTTTCTTTGTCTGATATGTAAGAAGAGAGAAGAAAGAGATTAGATTAGGAACGATAAATTATGTATGCAATTAGAAAGTTTGCTGTAGGTAATTTGATCAGTTGAATTAATCACTGATTAAATTAATTGAAGTTTAATCTCAGTTTTACTGCCCAAAGATTCTAAATTTAAAAAATTTTACAATAATAATTAAACAAAAAAATGTGTTGTTCAAGAAAAGTAATCTTCCAATTTTAAATTTAAATTAAGGACAGTAAACTCCTAGTAATTCCCCTCAATATATCAGACAGTTCTTTGATATATCTTCCACACGCCTATCTCTCTCTGTCTCATGGACATATCAAATTATAAAAAACCGTATATATAATTAATATAATATTGACATATAATGTATTGTCTTTACTTAATTCCATTTATTCCAATTTTTTTCGAAGAAAACAACGGCGTATAATTAAGTTTCCAAGAGAGTCTTTGTCGATTTTTATATCGTTAAATCCGGCGAGTCAATTCCAATCAACGTCGCGGTATAATCGTTGTTAATTAAATGGCGTTTAGAGATTGATCCGCTAATAAAAATCAACCTAGCACACTTTGATTCGTCATACGCTAATGCACCGCGCGTTGCACCCACGTTAAGTTTAACCGGATGTGCAAACCATACCAGCAAGCCTTGGAACGTGACTCTCACGCGCGACATGTCAGAAACTTCTCGAATATCATTTCGAAGAATTTTTTCCAGCCTAAATACACGTGTGATTTGTATTCGGTGAATTATTTAGAATCTTGTTTTTTCGATTACACATATTGTTCATTTGATGATTTGTCTCTAAATTACAACATTTACTTTTAATTTATTATTATGTTTAAAATTATAATTAAAATTTCTCAGATTTGTCCAGAATTTAACAATTAAACTTAAATTTATATTCTTTAATTTTTAAATCAATGAAAAAATGATATGCACACACACAATCTGTAAAAAATTATTGCAATTTACGAAAGTAAATAAAAATGCATGTGTTAGCCAATCTCTTAGATGATATTTTCTTGTTCGTATTCGGTCTCCATAAATTTATCCGGTTTCCGTTTTCTGCATTTAATTATATTCACGCTTAAAAATAAATATATATAGCGTATTAATTGAGACAGCCTTAAATTAGTTAAGTATCAATGTGTGATAAACGTAAATTAGGTCTTTTTCTGCATAATCCCTGACGGTAGGAGCAACGAGACCGGAACGGTCAGGGCCGGCGAGCAAGGACCTGATATGATCGAGCATAACACATCGTTGCTTATAATCACTGACGTGAAAACTCGTGGTAGGGATTTTATATTTAATTTAGAATTTTGCATAATACTGATGTTTGTTTAATAATACGATGAATAATGCATCGCATGATATTACGCTCTTGTACATAAAACAAACTTACATACGATTACATTTTTATACATAAAAAAATATTACTAATGACGATTAATATGATTATTTTCAACGTAGTTTTATTTATAATAACTTCATATTTGCCCCTCGAAGAGAGAAAAATATACGTCAAGAAGAGGAGAAGGAATGCGCATAAAACGCTAAGTGCAGCGCGAATGCAGTCTTGTTTGCCTAGTTACGCCATTGATCGAATGCAATTAAATGCTACTATGTTGTGCATAAAGATTCATAAAAGTACGAATAGCTGATGTAAGGCGTGACGTTTCTCTGGTTTTACATTAGCCCGCTATCTCGCCGTTGAGAAAAAACGAAAAAAAATGCATGCCCGCGGAATGCCGTCTGTTACAAAAGCCTATGGAATGACGGCGAACACGATTAGCCGCGTCGCTTTCCTCGGACTTTCATATTTCACTCGCAAGTTTTATCAGAAGGTTTGCGGAAGATCGCTTCGATCGATGGATCTTTGTTTAAGGACGACGTCGCCGTTGTATTAAAAATATTGAATTGACATTAAAGTGAAGATGTGAAGAGAATATGTATCTCTATCACAAAAGACACATTATATACATAGATGTGAAAGGAATTGTTCATTCAGTTAATACACAATTAACTTATTCTTAACAAGGTTCAATGATCTCATCAAATTAATT